GGCGGCGGTGAAAAATTTGAAGATGACGATGACGACAAAGAAGACGATGATGACGGCGAAGACGATGATGACGAAGATGACAATAAAGATGATGAGGAAGACGACGACGACAAAGAAGACGACGACGATGACAAAGACGACGACAAAGAAGATGATGACGAAGATGACGGCGGCGATGACGAAGACGACGGCAGCGACGAAGACGACCATGATGAAGAAGAAGACGACAACGAAGACGACGATGACAATGAAGACGATGATGAAGAAGACGCTGACAACGAAGAAGGAGGAGAAAGAGTAGTAGGAAGAGAAAAAAGGAGGAGGAGGAGAAAAAAGGAGGAGGAGGAGAAAAAGGAGGAGGAGAAGAAAAAGGAGAAAGGAGGAGAAAGGAGATGAAGATGACGACGAAGGAGATGATGAGCAAGAATGATGATGATGACAATGAAGAAGATGATGACGACGAAGACAAAGATGACGACGAAGACGGCGACAACGAAGATTGAGACGATGAAGACGGCGAAGATGGCGATGGTGAAGATGGCGATGACGACGACAACAAAGACGACTACGGCGAAGACGGTGACGAAGACAGTGACAAAGACGGCGATGACGACAACGACGGCAATGAAGACGAAGATGGCAATGACGAAGACGGTGACGATGAAGACGACGAAGATGGCGATGACGAAGATGGCGAAGATGGTGGCGGTGAAGACGGCAGAGATGGTGGTGATGAAGATGACAACGAAGACAACGCTGATGAAGAAGACGACGACAAAGAAGACAACAACGATGACGAAGAAGAAGACGATGACGACAACAGGGGAGGGATGACAAGGAAGAAGATGATGATGATGAAGGAGGAGCAGAAGGAGGACGAGAAGGAGGAGGAGACAATAAAGATGATAAAGAAGAATACAACAAAGAAGAAAAAGATGATGACGACGATGAGAAGATGACAAGGAAGGAGATGATGAAGGAGATGCCGCCGCCAAAGAAAATGCCGCTGAAGAAGAGTGAGGAGAAAAAAAAAAAGAGAAAAAAAAAATAAAAAGGAAAAAAAAAAAAGGAGACCGGGAGAAGGAGAAGGGAAGAAGGACAAGGGGAAGACAATTAAGAAGATGACTTGGAAGACAATGAAGATGATGACAAAGATGACAACAATGGAGGAAGAGAAGAAGGAGGAGAAGAATGATGAAAAGGAGAAGGCGGCTGACGCGTTCTCAGTTGAGCTTGACAAAAGCTCCCTTGCAGTCTGGCAAAGGCAAGGCGCAGAGCTAGAGCAAGTAGCAGCAGGACTAGAGGCCAAGCGGTCCCTGTTTCCTGAAGCCCTAGAATCAGGACCAGCCACCCACAAAAGAAGAAGAAGAAGAAGAATGACAGAATGGCAGAATGGCAGGGGTTGAGAGGGACCTCCGGGGATTATGTAATCCAACCCCCCTGCTGGAGCAGGTTCCAAAGTAGGACACCTGGCGCTGACGAACAGGCTTTTGGCCTTCCAAAACTTGCTGGGCTGTGCTTCTTGGCCAGTGATGCATGAAAAGCACTCTGGTGCCTGCCCCGCGCTGGTGTTGCACACAGGGAGAGCTGGAAAGTGGCAGCTGCTGGTGGTGCAGCAAGGCTGGAGCCCTTGCAAGCAGAGGCTGTTGGTTTTGCGCAGGCAAGAAGCCCTGGGGAGACAGAGCCAAGGGAAGAGCAGAGCTGGCTCCCGCTCCAAACTCGCAGTGGGCAAGAGAGGCAGAGAGAGCCAGGGCAGGAGTGGGGCCTTGGAGGCGCCCTTAGGGCAGCAGGCAAGAACGTGGCCAAAATGGGCCCAGCGGAGCCCTGACAAGAAGGGGCCGTGCTCAATGCTACAGAGGACAAGAAGCAAGGCCCAGGGGCCCCCCTGTGGGCCCACACTGGGACTCTCAAAAGCTTCCTCCCCCCGGATGCGGGGCACGAGGGCCAGCTGCGTGGAGCAGGAGCAGCAGGCCCCCAGGCAAAGTGGCCCAAAGGAGCCCTGGCAAGGGGCCGTGCTCAGTGCTGCAGAGGAAGGCAAAAAAAACCCCTGGGAACACTGGCTGGCTCAACCTGGGGG